TACAATATAATTACCAAAACATAATTTAGTGTTCTCTACACAGGTTTATAAAATATTATCACAAAGCTTTAGTGAGGAACAACATGGCTATATTGGCCAACTAGACCAACATAAACTAACCATAAACCAGCTTGCCATTGCTGTGAAAGAAGATTTACAGGTTAACAGCACCATACAACATACAAACAGTTAAACAATGTTATACACAATAGAAGAGATGTGGAACATGTTTGTAATGTCAAATGTAATGTCAGAAATGGATTTACTGGAGTTAATGAAACTCATTATATTTTATATAATTTTTTGCTCGCAAATATATTATGTTCGCAACTGAAATAAATACATAAATAAAAAAAAAAAAATTTAACTTAGCACATATTTAGCATGTTAGACCAATAGTAGGGTTTATATCTGTGCAATATTTGGCAAATACACCAAATTTAAAATGCTTAATAAGGGGAAATGTATATCATTTCCACCGTCAGGACTGTTTATTTTCACTAGTTGAACTGTGGACTGTGCACTTGTGGAACTGAACAAACAGTTCTGGAACGTATTCCAGGGAATAGACACCTCTTGCTTCTCAATGTTATCCATTAAACCTTGCAGGTCTTACTGGTGTTGCTGATAGTTTACAATACTGTTAACGTGACAATTAAAATAATTAATTTCATGGCAAAGGAAGTTAAACTGAGTCTTGTATCTGGAAATGATCTAATGTTAACCAGTAAAATAAAATTAAATAAAATTAAATAAAATTAAATAAATAGTAAAATAAAATTAAATAAAAAATGTGGCTTGATGTTTTCAAGCTTAATTCACAATGGTTTTATGGGGTTATTATAAATAAATATAATAAACAAATAATAAATAAATAAATAAATTGGTTCCATTATTGTACTGCATTACGCCATTTCAAGCATTTTATATTATGATATTATATAGTATTATAAGATATTATATATAGTATTATATATTGAAAAAAATTGCAAAGATTATATTGAGAGATTTTGAGACATGTAAGAGATTTTTACAGTCTTTATATATCTGATATCAACATTTCTGGTCCTTTGCGAGTGCAGTATTTAGTGTTGACTATAAAGATAACTTTTCAGTGAAGCGTGTGTGTGTGTGTGTGTGTGTGTGTGTGTGCACACATGCACGTGTACACTTGTGAGTTCACAACACGGCTCTTGCTGTAGTCTTAGCAGAATCCTGCTGGGAGAAGAGTAGCCTCCTGTTGAGGAGGAAGATGAGTGTCTGGCGTCTCTTGAGTGCCGTGAACGATTACAGTCACTCCATTATTTAGCTTGAGTTACATGTGTGCCATAAACCCCACACTCCACAAAAAAATATGCTGCTCCATTTGCTCTCATTAAAAATGTATGCCGTTTTTGGGGGAATTGGGAACTGCTTTGCTGGCAGACAAAACACACTTTGGTTTGTAATCAGAGCTCAAGTGGTATGTGGTAAGTTTTTTCTTAGGATAACAGCAATGCTTTTGGCAAGGATCAAAGTTTTCTTTCTCTATGCTTGCTCTTTAGTTTGATTGACACCTGGAGGAAACCGGAGTCAAGGCATTGAGAAATAACTCAGAGTGCAGATCGGCTGCTGATGCCATGGGTTTTCAAAGAATAACCCTCTATAGGACTAATTGTGAATTTACAGCTTAAAAAATAATTGACTTTATATTTTACATAATTATATTTAGGTGTAAAATCATTTTTCTTAATCTGACCTTTGTCCTTTTTTTTAGGGATCCGTCATTTATAACTGACGTTGTCCCATTAGGGTAAATTATTTTTGGCAAATTGTCTGAAACTTCACACACAATCAAATGCTTTTTCCCTATCTGAAAAAAGTGAAAAGGTCTTACTGTTTCAAAAAACAGTAAAAAAAAATTATTGTGCTGCTATATTTGATTTGGAACTCACGCATGAAAATGTCTAAAACGTGACACAAATTCGGATGCAATTTCACTGCCTGAAAACCATGTCTTAGTGTTTCAAAAGCATTAAAACAACTTTAACATTGAGTTTCATCTTGGAATTTCAAATCAATTATCGTAGCACATGTGAAAATCAACAAGACTCTTCTTTTTCAGTGTACCCCACACAACCCACACATAAGTAGATGTTGACTTGTGCAGTTATCATTGGAGCATCGCTGTCTGTCAGTATAGTAATGTCAATAGACATTGGCATCTTTCCTGACCTCTGGTTGTTGTATGGATCACATCTTTCAAACTGGCATACAATAATGTACCCAAATGCCTGACTTCCACAACAACCTATTCTTCATCACTGCCCTCACACTCATTGCTTCTATCCTCCTTGGTCCTCAACAACTTGTTTTATTACTACAACCTGATTTTCTGATGCACTCATATCATATTATCTTTCTGAAATAAGTACAGATTTGTCTCTTCATCTTACAAAAATCTTACAAAAATGAACCTAAAACACATGCATAAAGTCTATTATACTGCCCGCCAATGCTGGTCAATAGTGCCAGCTACACAAAATATGCATCACATAATAGGACTTTATCAGTTATGCATGACGCTCAGATTTGTTGGTCTCTTGGGTTGTTGTTTTTATAAAAGTGCATTAATGACAAAAAAACCTTTAGAAAACACATTTGGCTGTACAATTATATTTTTTATAACTTGAATTTATATGTATTTTCTAGTTTAAAATGAGCTCTCTCTGGAGCCTTGAGAGCATGTGATGTGCTAATGTCTCCTTTACTACTTTGTTACCAAAAATGTGACGCATATGGCTAATATATTTTAATTTTACTGGTTGAAGGGGATGTCATTTGACATAACTAAAATAAAATTTTGTTGGTTGAACTTAATATTGAATTTTAAATGTAATTTTCTTAGCGTCATTTATAAATGACGATATCCCATAGAGGGATAAAGGCTGAATTTAGGAGTCTAGTAAAAGTCGCCGTGATTTTGCCAAGTAAGACATGTTCCTGGATCAACATTACTGTCCAAAAATATAGACCTAACCCAATCCCTAACCCTAAAGGATGTTGATCCAGGAACATGTTGTACTTGGTGAAACCACATTCACCGTCTAATAAATGGTATGTATTCAATGTGAATGTGGGGTGTTGGGTACAGTTTGACCCAGTTGGGAGACCAAGAAAGTTGCAATTGAGAATTTTTTTTTTTGGTAAATAACGAAATTCCATTCTCCAAAATTCCTGTTGAAACCAGCTTGAACTGGTTGCTGGTCTTATTTGGTCTCAAAATCTGACCAGGCTGGTCTGTTGGTGTGTTATAGAGAGGTTTTGGGGGTTGTATGGGAGACCAGCTACACTCTTAAAAATAAAGGTGCTTCATGATGCCATAGAAGAACCTTTTTTGTCTAAATGGTTCCATAAAGAACCTTTAACATCTGAAGAACCCTTCTGTTTCACAAAAGGTTCTTTGTGGTGAAAAAAGGTTCTTCAGATTACAAAAAGGTAAGAAAGAGATGGTTCTTTAAAGAACCTTTGACTGAATGGTTCTTTGTGGAACCAAAAATGGTTCTTCTATGGCATCGCTTGAAGAACCTTTTGAAGCACCTTTATTTTTAAGAGTGTAGATCAGCTTAAATGAGCAAATCAGTGTGTGCTGTCAATAGTTAAAAGTCACAAGAGTGAACTAATTTAAAACACAAACACAGAAAAAGGTAGCCTATATGCAAAATAAATCTTATTTTAATATTTAAAATATAAAAAGAATATTTAGTAAACTTTTCAAAATTGCAGAAAGACAGAACATGAGAAAATGAGTGTTGCCCAAGACAACTGTCATTAATTAGAAATATCTGAATGCTGACTGCGACGAGATACGATGGACATATTTTAAACAGCAGAATAATACAACAGAACTGACAGACAGACAGACAAACAGACAAATATGAATTAATCCAACTCTTTAAAACACACGCACACAGGAGAAAGGAAGAGACAGGTGGGTACAAATAGTAAGGACCGTTTTCTTGTCACAACATTTTTCGTGCCTCATTTTACAGATGTGCTCTATTTTTGTTGCTACTTTCATCCAGGGAGAGGCTGTTACGTTTACAAATGTGCTGAGCTCTTCTAGTTTTCACAGAAGAGAGTTGTTTGTCACAAACAGGACAGCATAGATGCACAGGCCTATACCTGACCGCAAACATGCACGTTTCGCCCCGCACTTCCATCTATTTGCCTTGAATTAAATTCATTTTGTGAGTGGATTTGTATGCACATCTTGTTTAAGTCTCATTCAAATGTGTTTATTACATTATACTGAATCTTGATCATCTTGATGCCATGACGGCACAGAAGAGAGGAGGAGAATGTGAAAGGCATTATGCATCTGTAGGCTGTATGCAAAAGACGAGGAGCACATTTTCAAGGCGAGCATCTCTTGAACATGTCCGAAAGGGTTAAGAACACTACAGCATTACATCACTCAGCATCCCCCAGTCCTGAGGTGTTGAATCGAGCACTAGGTGGCATCCGAGATGAGTAAGGATCCGCGTCTCCGTTCAGACGAGACATCCAGTCAGCGGCGTCGGGTGTCTCAGGGAACAGTCCCGCTGCAGACACAATGCGCAGGTGACAAGAACCCGCTTCCAGGAGTTCGTCTCTGACCTGTGCCGACTCGAGGGCGAGAACAGCGCTGACTTCCCCGTCCGGAGCGACGCAGGAGGATGCACTGCCTCTCTGGCGTCGCCGTCACCCCACAACTCCATGGCTACCTCATTAGGGGTACTCTGGAGGAACAGGTGTCGGGGATTCATTTTGTGAGTGGATTTGTATGCACATCTTGTTTAAGTCTCATTCAAATGTGTTTATTACATTATACTGAATCTTGATCATCTTGATGCCATGACGGCACAGAAGAGAGGAGGAGAATGTGAAAGGCATTATGCATCTGTAGGCTGTATGCAAAAGTGTTGTTCCACCTGACGAGGAGCACATTTTCAAGGCGAGCATCTCTTGAACATGTCCGAAAGGGTTAAGAACGCTACAGCATTACATCACTCAGCATCCCCCAGTCCTGAGGTGTTGAATCGAGCACTAGGTGGCATCCGAGATGAGTAAGGATCCGCGTCTCCGTTCAGACGAGACATCCAGTCAGCGGCGTCGGGTGTCTCAGGGAACAGTCCCGCTGCAGACACAATGCGCAGGTGACAAGAACCCGCTTCCAGGAGTTCGTCTCTGACCTGTGCCGACTCGAGGGCGAGAACAGCGCTGACTTCCCCGTCCGGAGCGACGCAGGAGGATGCACTGCCTCTCTGGCGTCACCGTCACCCCACAACTCCATGGCTACCTCATTAGGGGTACTCTGGAGGAACAGGTGTCGGGGAAGTGACGTCACGAGCCTCGGAAACCGGAGGTGTGCGCTTTGGAGAGCAAGATGGCAGCGAAATCCGACGGTCGGGGGGTCGTCACCGGTTTCGCCCAGCTGCACAACCTGGACGAGACGGTGGGGAGCTGCGAGGACGACCCGCGGCAGGGCAGCTCCTTCCACATCTGCCACTGCTGCAACACCTCGTCGTGCTACTGGGGCTGCCGGAGCGCCTGTCTGCATTACCTCCTGGGCAAGGGGAGAGACGTCAGGCGGCCACCTCGCGAGGAGCGCCTGTGGTTGGACTGCCTGTGGATCGTCCTCGCGCTCCTCGTCTTCTTCTGGGACGTAGGCACTGACTTATGGCTCGCGCTTGACTACTACGTCAAGCAGGACTACCTCTGGTTCGGACTCACACTGTTCTTCGTGCTGGTGCCGTCGGTGCTTGTCCAGATCTTGAGCTTCAGGTGGTTCGTGCAGGATTACACGGGGGGCGGCCTGGGCACCGTGGAGGGTCTCAGCAGCGGCCGGAGAGCCACGGCTGGCACGAGCGCAGGGGTGTACGGCAGGGTCAGATGCTGTCGCGTATCAGTGTGGGTCTGGCAGACGCTCATACACATCCTCCAGATGGGACAAGTGTGGAGGTAAGCATCCCGTTAGCTTCTCCTATAGCCCGTCACCTGGTATAACCCGTGCAGTCCAGAACATAGGGGATGCGAGTATCACTCTAAGCATGTGCTTTTCTCCGAATGAACATCGTGCTCTCGTGAAATCTGTGGCATCAGTATGTGCAGCAGGGCGCTGGAAGTACACAGTGCGTTCCTGAGGTGAGTCTCACAGTGCATCTGAGGATTCATTCACCCTCCCTTGGCTGCTCAACTCTGAGAGACTGCTGGCGAGACGGGCGTCGGGTTTCTCAGGCTCCCCGTGCGTCCCTCAGGAACGACATCCCTCCTTCCTACGCTCGATGTCATCGACACAATTTGCGTTCTTTGATCCTTCGCTCTTTAATAAGGATTCATCATCATAGGTGCAGTGCGTTATAACGCCAGTCAGTACAGTGTGTGCTCTCAAGTGAGGAATAGTTCTGGCGCGTGCGGGGAATATCGTCCGTGACATGTTGTACTTAACGTCTGATCCGCTAGATATGATGCGACAGTTTTGTTTTCTGCAGCAGACGGGCTCAGTGGCCGCATTCACTTCTGTGTGGAGGCGTTCAGTTTAGCCGGACGATTTAGCTTGATTTCGTTGCCATTCATTATTCATGTTTGCTTGGGCTCGTGCTTTCTTTATACGATGCGATTATTGCTTAAAGATAAGTCTCTCTGTCATCAGTGGCTCACAGTTGTCATGATGTCATCGCTTTAAAGGTGCTACAGCATCTCACGCGAGTGCGCGCGCGCTCTCTCTCTCTCTATGTTTGTGTGCAAAAGAAATTCCTTCTCAGCTTTCATATAGTCACGTTTTTCTGAGATAAATGTAGGGAAATCTTTCTTAAAAGCCAAATGAAACGCTCATTTTGGACAAGTTAAATAATACTCTGCTTCGACTGTAAATTTTTAAGTGGATTGATATTTATAGTATATATAATATGTAATATTTTTATGAAGTAGGCTATAGATCTAGGGATCACTGGGATCTAGAACTGACCCCGTAGAATTCTGACGCTGATTTTCTGCCGTTGCTATGCAACCAGTAGTTCTAGTTAAAAGCGTTTTCTTCTTATGCGTCCGTTTATATATATATATATATATATTCAGAATATTAGAAAATTCAGACGAACAATACCTGAGTGAATGACTTAGATTGTGAAGTGTGCGACCGGTGGACCCTGAACTATCCCATAATGCAACAAGAGCAAGTGTCATATTCAAGAAGTTTAAAAATAAAAAAGGCAGAGAACTGTGAACTGCGCAGCTGGCTTTAGACGTGCTGTCAGAACTAAAACGTGTTCATTGCAATTAAAGGGAAAGTTCATCCAGAAATGAAAATTCTGTCATTAATTACTCACCCTCATGTCGTTTCAAACCCGCAAGACCTTCGTTAATCTTCGGAACACAAATTAAGATATTTTTGATGGAATCTGAGAGCTGTCTGACCCTGCATAGACAGCAACGCAACTGAAATGTTTCCAAGTCCAGAAACGTAGCAAGGAGATCGGTAAAATAATCCATGTGACATCAGGGGTTCAACCGTAATTATACGAAGCTACGAGAATACTTTTTGTGCGCAAAAGAAAAAAAGAAAACTTTATTCAACAATTCGTCTCACCCTGGTGCCATTTTGGAGAATATCCGCTGGACGTAAACAGCGTATGTTGTTCTGTGCCAGCTGCGTCACGCCGGATCTGTTTCCTACATTGTTGTGATTTGATTGAACGGAAACAGTGTATGCGTGTGTGATTTTTGGGTGAACTAACCCTTTAAAATGTAATTTTTTGTTATACTTGCCTATACTTTCTTCAGTGGTCAATAACTGAGATCTTCATTAAATTCAGCACTGAAAGTACAGATATTTGTATACAGCTAATTGAGCTAAAGTGTAAAAGGTAATGTTTTATCTAGCTATATTTCTATAGTTACCTTGATGAAACACTTTTACTGTATTTTGGCTCTACACAAAACAGTTACTGCTTCATTGTGCAATAAATGCAAAACCCGAATATAATGGAATGGCATTTTGAGGTAGAATGCTCAGCAGTGTATCAGCAGTGTAGCTTTAAAGTGCTGGTGGAAATGGGTTTGAAGTCAACATCAAAGAAGTCTTTTTTTTGCTCCTTTTAAGACTGTGTGAATAAGGTGCTCATAATTAGATGACATCTAAATCAAATAAGAAGATCCTTCATGCTTTTCTTATGTCTGTCAATCTTGAACTATGTTTTATACAACGAAGTACCATTGTACCTGTGTGTGTTTTCATATTTTAATACTCATAGGCCTATTATTGCATCTGTCAGTTGTTATTGCTTTCTAGCCAGAAACTTCTGAGGCCACACTGGCTTTATCTCTCAAACTGAACCGATAATGTTCTCAGGTCACGCCAAACATTAGCAAGCAACTTAAACTAATTTCTATGTGAAAACAAAAAAATAAAGTGGAATTACACACTTATATACTACTTATGGAATTAGTTCCTGACTACTGGACAGATCCTTCTGCCAAAGACTTTAGAAATTGTGCATTTTAAGAAAGTGCATGTTAAGAAAGTGCATGAGACATTTCTCAATTGGATGTTTATTCATTTATGCTTGGCATGAGAGCCCGATGATGTCTTTGTTGGCTTTGGTAACTGATGTGGCAGCGCCGCTGCCAAAACCTCGAGCCTTTCCCAATCGTCTTGACTTGAAGTTAGTCAGCGCAAGCGTCTTGAGAGATAAATTGTAAATAATGGTCAATTAAGCTGCCTAGGGCACTGGTTGTGTGCTTTGTTTAGCTCTTGGCACAAAATTCGCTGCCTAGTTATGGCAACTTGGTGAAAACGAGTATAGCTCAGGATTCTTACTCCCAGCATGTCTGATATGCCATGTATCATTACTGTTTAATTTGTAAAATTAAAAATTACTGTTAAAAACATTTCTTTTGAAGGACTCTTAAAATAAATATATCACAATTTCCGTAAAAATATTAAGCAGCACAACTGTTTTCAACACTGATATTAATAAGAAATCTTTCTTAAGCAGCAAATCAGCATATTAGAATGATTTCTGAAGATCATGTGACACTGAAGACTGGAGTAATGATGCTGAAAATTCAGCTTTACCATCACTGCAATACATTACGTTTGAAAATATAAATATATATAAAAATAGAAAACTTGTATTTAAAATTGTAATAATATTTCACAATATTCCTTCATTTTTTATTAAATAAATGCAGACTTGGTGAGAATAAAGAGACATCTTTCAAAAACATAAAAAAATCTTACTGACCCCAGACTTTTATACAGTAGTGTATACAGGTGCATCTCAATAAATTAGAATGTCGTGGAAAAGTTCATTTATTTCAGTAATTCAACTAAAATTGTGAAACTCGTGTATTAAATAAATTCAATGCACACAGACTGAAGTAGTTTAAGTCTTTGGTTCTTTTAATTGTGATGATTTTGGCTCACATTTAACAAAAACCCACCAATTCACTATCTCAACAAATTAGAATACTTCATAAGACCAATAAAAAAAACATTTTTAGTGAATTGTTGGCCTTCTGGAAAGTATGTTCATTTACTGTACATGTACTCAATACTTGGTAGGGGCTCCTTTTGCATGAATTACTGCATCAGTG